ATAGTTGTGATGGTCGATCACTGCTGTCCTCTCCTCGTCAAACTCGATCCCACACTCGCTGCCCAGCTCCCTCAGTGGGTCACCTGCAGGGACACAACAGATTCTCCATCAACATGACACATAAACATCAAATAAAAAGCCAATTTAGCTTTAAATCCATGTGTTCAGTGCTCTACAAGCCAAACCCCCAGGAGGAAAATGACCTCCCCAGCTAAACTCCCCCTGACCGTGTCACTCAAGGCGTTTATCACCCACTTCCTTCCAGAACAAACCTTGAGGTGCACAACGAGGAATGAGAAACTGTGTTTGCTCACAGCTTTTGTTGCAGGAACTCAGTTTTTGTTGCTGCCACAAACTCATTCTCCCCGAGGAACATCTGCACTTACCGATGTCTGAGCTGGCGGCCACGAGGACGCTGCCGCCGCCGTCGATGAACGCCGTGATGGTCTCCACGTTGATGTTCCCACCAAAATCTGAGGGCACACGGCAAGAATTCATGACTAGCACTCAGAAATAACCCCCTGGCAGAGTCAGACCACGGCAAATCACCGAATCACCCCTCCCATGGCCGGAAGAACCACCAATAAAGGCCTGGAGACAGCTGCAGTTTGCTACTGGCTACATTTAGAGTGTCAAATTTAATTAAAACTCACAAAACAGCTGGAAATCCCCTTCCAAAAATGCCACCGAGCTCCAGAGCAGTGGAGTTTTCCCCTCCTGCACTTACCTTCTATGGATGGGGAGAAGATGATGAGGTTGTCGTACAGGAACTCCCCGTATTTGATCAGGGACAGGCCGGCGTCGTCCGCGGTGCGGAAGGTGAGGTCGAAGCCCCTGTCTGCAGCCACGACACAAAGGGGACAACTTGTCCATGGCAGGAAATCCACACATGGAGCAGCAAAGCACCAGCAGGATCCCGAGGTTTATTCCCCCAATAAACAGCAGTGTTTTGGAAAAACTGGCTTAGGGTCTTTCTGGGAGCAGCACTTGGGGTTCTCCTATAAACCCCTGAAGAGCCCTGATGTTGAAGGATGTTGTCACCTATCAAATGGGGACCAACAATCCAGAGGATCCAAAACACAGGGAAAACTGGGGAAACAACACCCATCTCCTTCCTCAGTTGGGCCAGGGGACAACAAACACGCCCATCTCACCCAGGAACCCCAATCTCCTCCCTCATTCTGACCAGGGGACCCCAAACACTCCCCTAGGGAACTCCCATTCCTCCCTCAGTCCAACAGAGAGTCTCCAACCTGCTCCCTCTGCCTGACCAGGGGACTCCAACCATCCCCTCTTACCCCCACTGAACCCAGGTCTCTGTTGGGTCCCCATCACCTCCCTCATCCTGACCAGGGGATCCCAATCTTCTCCTTCATTCTAAGCAGGGGAACCCAAACAACCCCCTCTCCCTCAGGGAACCCCAATCTCCTTCCTCAGCCAGGCCAGGGGACCCCAAACAGCCCCCTCCTCCCCCAGGGAACTTCAATATCCTCCCTCAGCCTGGCACAGAATCCTCAATCTCTCCCTATAGCATGGCACAGGGGACCCCAATCTCCTTCCCCATTCTGACCAGAGCACCCAAACAACCCCTCTCCAACCAGGGAACCCCACTCTCCTCCTCTGCCTAACCAGAGGACCCCAATCTCCTCCCCACCTCTGTCCAGGAGACCCCAAACACCCCCCTCTCCAACCAGGGAACCTCAGTCTCCTGTGTCTGACATAGGTGACCCCAGTCTGCCCCTGAGCCCAACACAGGATCCCCAGTCACCTCCCTCAGCACAGTCAGCGGACCCTAAACACACAACCCTCTCCCACAGGACCCCCATCTCTTCCCCCATTCTAATCAGGGCACACCAAACATCCCCCCTTTTCCCCTGGGACCCCCAATCTCCTCCCTCAGCCTGACCTGGGGACCCCAACCACCACCCTCTCCCCCCGGGATCCCCATTCCCTCCCCCATCCTGGTCAGGGGAACCCAAACACGCCCCTTTCCACCGAAGGACACCCTTCTCCTCCCTCAGCCTGGCACAGGAATCCCAATCTCCTCCCCCATTCTGACCAGGGGACCCCAAACACCTTCTTTTTTCCTCAGGTAACTCCAATCTCCTCCCCCACTCTGACCTAAATACCCCTTTTCCCTCAGGTAACCCCAATCTCACCCCTCACAGTGACGAGGGGACCCCAAACATCCCCTTTTCCCTCAGGTAACCCCGCCCTCCTCTCTCATCCTGACCCCCGACCCCCTCCCCGCCCTCAGCCACTCCCTCCCCGTACCCGCGAGGCTGCGGAAGAACATGGAATGCGTGTCGCGGAGGTTCCCGTTCTCCAGGAGCACCAGCGTGCGGGGCCCCCCCTCAGCGGCCGCCGCCAGCCCCGCCAGGAGCCCCCACAGGCACAGCGCGGCCGCCGCCATCTTGGACCCCGGCATGGGGGAGCGCCCTCAGAGGCGGGCAGCCCAGCAGCCAATCAACGACGGCGTCGCGCGGCCTCCAGCCAATCAGCGCCAGCGACGCGCGGCCTCCAGCCAATCAGCGCCCGACAGCTCCGCGCTGTCGCGACAGCGCTGTCGCGACTCGGCGCAGCTGCCTCCGCGGTGACGGCGGCCACGGTGGCGTGGGCCGCTCACGCCCCCGATGTGCTCGGAGTTGTTGTCTGTACGCACAGACACCTCATCTCACCTGTGGTACCATCTTCTCAGCTGTGGTACCCTCCTCTTACCTGTGGCACCATCCCCGTACCCGCAGCACCATTCTCTCACCTCACGCACCATCCTCTCACCTGAGGCACCATCTCCTTACCTGTGGCACCCTCCTCTTATCTGTGCTACCGTCTGCTTACCCACAGCACCATCCCCTTACCCACAGCACCATCTTCTTACCTCTGGTACCATCCTCTCATTCACAGCACCATCGTCTCACCTGTGGTAACCTCCCCTTACCTACAGCACCATCCCCTTACCCGCAGCACCATCCTCTCACCTGCAGCCCCGTCCTGTCACTCATAGCCCTGTCCTTTCACTTGAGGCACCATTCTCTCACCTGTGGGGCCATTCTCTTACCCACAGCAACGTCCTCTCACCCGTGGTACCCTCCCCTTACCTGCAGCACCTCCCCTTACTCACAGCACCCTCTCCATGCTCACAGGACCATCCTGTCACTCACAGCACCATCCTCTCACCTATCGCACCCTCCCCTTACCTTTCCCACCAGACAGGTGGGTTCTTTGAATGAAAGGCTCCTCTGGAATTTTCCAGCAGCCGGTTTCCCCATCCCAGGGATTTGTGCCTGATCTCCAGGTCGCTGCAGTTGCAGTCACACCAGACGAGGGACTGCCCCTGACCCAGGAGCTGCTGGCAGAATGTCAGGTCTTGCTCCTGGGAGCTCCCCGTGCTCAGGGAATCCATCTTCTCCAGCTCAAACTCCCACTGCAGGTCTCAGATCTCGATCTCAGCAGCCCGGAGCTGGGACACAAAACAAGTTGTCAGGATTATAGGGGAGAGACCCAGAGTTACTGAGAGCATGGGAATCTGTGAGCAGAGGGATGAAAAGATACACAGAAAAGCTTCAATATTTGGCAAGATTTCTAGTTGAGTTAAAAATTAGATGAGATTTGTGTGGAGAGATTATTCCATATCTTAATGATTATTCCATGTCTTAATGAAAGATTTCTTGTGTTTCTCCACAGTGCCAAGTTTTGAACAGACTTGAAGTCAACCTTTACTAATGTGGTTTGTGTCCAGTGATAACAAACTCTTGGGAGTTCCTTTTATTTCAGTTAAAAGGGTGCAATATTTCTTTGATAACCTGAATACTCAAATACAAGTCCTTCATGTGCAGATCTGGGACTGTACACACAAATGTCAATTTTTTTGAAGCTCCTGTGGTTCTACCTCAAAAAATAAGAGCAAAACTGATTTTCAAGTGTTTCAAAAATAAAGATTTTAAACGTAAAATTCAAGAGCATTACTTTTATATATTTTATGCTTTCCCCCAGAAAATACCCGGGGTGCTCAGAACTGGCAGGAGCTGCAACAGATCCGTAGGTCAGTAGAGGGAGTTACATCCCCTCCCATCCCAACACATCCTCCTCCAGCCACGTGCTGCTCCAAGCCTGGCCTTTAAAACAGGTGGGGTTGGGGGATCAATAGCTTAATTTCCCACCCTGAGCGTTGCTGCATCTGGGATTTAAAAAAAAGCAACTCAGACAAACAGTGTGGTGTATGAAATATATGACAGAATCATTTTCTAAACTTATTGCCCTAAATATGTCTGCTGCTGGATGGAGAAGGCTCTGGGGGTGCTGGTGCAAGCAGCTGAATGTGAGCCCAGGTGGGCAAAAGGCCAAGGGCATCTGGCTGGGACCAGCACTGGTGTGGCCAGTGGGTCCCTGTGCTGGGCACGGCCGGGGCACCTCCAGCCCCGGGGGCACCGCTGGGACCCTCCGGACAAGGAGGACCCGGAGGGGCTGGAGCGTGTGCAGGGAAGGGAACGGAGCTGGGAAGGGGCTGGAGCAGCAGGAGCGGCTGAGGGAGCTGGGGGGCTCAGCCTGGAGAAAAGGAGGCTCAGGGGGGACCTCACGGGGCGTCGGGCTCTGCTCCCAGGGAACAAGGGACAGGAGGAGAGGGAACGACCTCCAGCTGTGCCAGGGGAGGGTCAGGTTGGACAGGAGGAGGAATTTCTCCCTGGAAAGGGTGGTCAGGCACTGGCAGGGGCTGCCCAGGGAGGTTTGGAGTCCCCAGCCCTGGAGGTGCCCAAGGAAGGCCTGGCCATGGCACTGAGTGCTCTGGGCTGGGGACAAGGTGGGCATCGGGCACAGGGGGCACTCTATGGGACTTTCAACCTCAGTGATCCTGGGATTCTGTAACATAAAAAAATGGGGACATGGAGGTGGAAGGAGCCGCCCCCTCACCTTCTCCTGCAAATTCTCCAGCATCTTACTCTGGGCTCAAACCTCCTCCTGGATGGAGTCATGGACATTCAGGAGAACCTGCTCACTGCTGTCCTCGTTGGATCCCTGCAGTGCAGCCACAACCTGCACCCTCTGTTCATCCATGTCTCTTTTCTGGTGTTCATGCTTTTCCTTCGGGTCCTTGTTTTTATCCTTCGCCCCCGCAGCCACCTCTAGTGTCTGCAGCCTGGGAAAGGGAAACACTTCTCTGAGCTGGGTGGTACCAAGAACCAGCTGTGTAAGCCAGGAGGACACACATCCTTTCCTGGACAACGTTCGGGGAGACACAGAAAACAGTGAAGATTTTCTGCCCTGAGCAAACATGGCAAATTCCGCTCTTATTAACAGTTTCTGTCATAAATAGAATCCCAGAATAGTTTGGGTTGGAAGGGACCTTAAAGTTCATCTCATCCCACCCCCTGCCATGGGCAGGGACATCCTCCACTAGCCCAGGTTGCTCCAAGCCCCGTCCAACCTGGCCTTGGACACTTCCAGGGATGGGACAACTACAGCTTCTCTGGGCAAAATACTGCACAAAGACAAAGTACAGGATATTCCAAGCACCTCAGTCAACAAGTACGTCTGAAAATCCATTTCTACACTCACAAAATTCTCTTTAAACCCTCTGTTTTGTGGCATTTATATTTAAATTCTTATTGAAATAAATATTGAATATATTGCTATATTTCAGTTCTTATTTCTGGTTTGGAAAGACACACAAATGGTTCCAAAATTACACAGAGAATAATTTAAAATGGTGGCTGTGGGAGTGGTAGGGCTGGAAGCCACAGTCTGGTTTCCATTTTGGGGCAGTATCAGCCAGGGTTGATGATTTGTGACCTCAGTGTTGCTAATGGAGCACTGGCACAGACCTGTATGTGAAATCATGCTCTGCTATGGGAATAAAGCCGTGCTCCAGAGCCATTCCCTTTGTCTGCACAGGATCTGGAGCAGAGCAGATTTCCCAGGTTGGCCAGCGGTGGCTCAAACTGGCTGATAACCCCTTTGCTGTTAACAGCCTCTTAATTATCTCCAAACCCTCCAAAATTGCTCATTCTCCCCCAGAACTGACCTGCTATTCTGCTGCACTGCTCCTGCCAGGTAACCTTCCCTTTTCTTTGCTCAATTGGTGGTTGAATCCCAGGATTCAGCCTTGCTCTGCTGAGCTGCCCCGGTGTGTAAAGCTTCAGCAGGCGGCTTTGAAATCCCCACGCCTGCAGAACCAAACCCTCCTGCCCAATCTGCACAGAACTGGGATTTAACAATGTAATTAGAAGAGCATTTCCCCTTGTTTGCCACAAAAGGAGTAGGATTATGCGCTGCTATAGGACGAGTCCTGCAATAGGACTGTTAACAATTGATATGTGATAAAAAGAAGGGTTTCTTTGGAGATCTCTGCATTAATAGAATTGCCCACAGATTACAGGCACTGCTGTTCTGCATTTCACAGCAGCTCCTTTTTGAGCCAGGAGAGGCCTAACAGAGTGAGCACACACCACAGGAAAGCTGGAACAGTGGTTAAAAGCCTACAGAACTTTGCACAATCCAACTCTGGTTGAGCATTTCTCATTTTAACATATTTCCCCGCAAAGGGGTAAGCGAGAAATCAGCAGAATTTTCTTAAATTGCATATTTCTGGAACAGCCCGAGCCCCTGTACTGTTGCAATATGAGGTGTTAAACTCTGATTAAGGAGTTTCTCTCGGGTCAGCCCAGAAGAAAACCCTCAAGCCAGGTCTCCTCCAAGATGGGCTGAGCACGAGCCTCAAACCTGCACTTCCCACATCCCAGCCCTGAGTCTAACACGCCCCTAAAACGGGATTATTGGGAAATTTTGCTGTCAGTTCTGGCTGATGTGTTGCAAACACTGTCAGATGCACGAGTTGGAGGCAAAAGTGGCCTCAGCGATGGGGAGAGTCATGGAGCACTTGCTCTCCTCCATCCATGCACAGCAGGACACCCGCTGCCTTACCTGGAGGGACATGAGAGAGCTCCATGTGCCCTAAAAGGACCTTTTGCAAGAGGAAAAGGAGCTGTCCCAGCTTTATCCTCTTCCTGAGGCAATGAAACACCTCATTTTTGGAGAAAACCCAGAGTTTTGCCCAGGTGGCTGGGAGTTTTCCCTGGCTGAGGGCAGAGGTCTCTGGAGGTGAGGGTGTCTCTGGAGGTCTCCAGAGTGTCTCTGGAGCAGAGGGCTGAACTCAAGAGGTCACTGCTCTGTCCTGGTCCCACTGCACTCCCACACCCCAGCTGAGGGTGGCTGTGGCAGCCACTTCACTGCAAGCAAATGTGCTGCAGCACTTGTTCTCCTGGTGGATTATCCACACCATCTCCTTGCTGGATGTGGATCCTCTCACATCCCTGTAAATTGTTGCCCCCAGGAAAGAAAACCCACAGCCTCAGTGTCTCAGGTGCAGATGAAGGGCCTCCCAGGGCACTCCATGGGCAGCAAGACCTTTGTCCTGACCCTTTTTGTCCAGCAGTGATCTTTGGCTGTTGTAAGACCCCAGTCCCAAAGCCTCAAGCTTTACTGGGAGTATTACTTATATTTAAGATGCAAAAATTTTTGTTTCTTCATCCCTCTACTGTTCCTAACATCTTTGACTACTGCTTTCCTCCTCTCTATTTCTCCCTCTTCTGACAGTTTCACATGTAGTTACCTCAAAATTCTTCTCAGGAATCCATTCCAATCCACCTCCAGAGAGGTGGGAACTATACTGAGACAAAGTGATGTTGTAATAAGGCCTCCATCAACACAGGGTCTGTCCGTAGGAGAAGTCCAGGGATCAGAAAATAGCAAGAGAAGTGTTCTGGAAAGGCTGAACCATATTTTTAATGATTGTTATAAAAAAATATAAGCTTTAGTGAAAGCCACTCCGGGATATCCCCTCCCAGCTTCCTTTGATCAGGGGTTTGAGGAGGGGAGCTGGATTTGCTCCCAGGGGAGCAGCCTCAGCAGGCAGAAACCCCACAGAGCAAGGCAGAAATAAAGATCACTGGCAGTCACTGGGTGGGATTGCCTGTAGAATTCCTGGAAAGAGAGCAAAGAACCTGTCTACCAGGAAAGCACATGGCAATCCCTGTGCTCCTGCAATCCGTGCTCCCGTGCCAGGAGCTCCACTGCCAAAACACCCACTGGGCCAGGGCTCCGTGGGTGTGGGGAGAGGGGGAGAGGTTCGAGATTCAGGGGTGTGAAAGTGAATATAGTTATATGACATTTATAATTATAAATATCTCTTTCACAGAGTAACAGGAGAATTGTTTCCAGGGCTATGCTACAGATTTGGGAGACAAAAGATGCTGGGAAGATGAAAGGTGCAAGGAAATTCCCTTCTTTCTTCACAGCTGTTTCTGAAAGGTGGCAGAAAGGGGGAAAAAAGTCATCCTACAGCCTTATTCCTGTGCTGAAAGTTGCCCTTTTTCAGGGGATAGTTCTCTAGAGTTGACCAGTTCCCTGAAAACTGCTCTTCCCTATTTGTTCCCACATTTGCTGTTCCTGCTCCAGAGGAAAGAGTAAGTGCACTGATGCTGGGCTGAGTCCTCAAGCACTGCCAGCAGGGCAAAACCTCTCTTGTTGTGTTGAAAGCTGAATGTAGGAAAAGAGGGGCAGAATGTTCACCTTGAAAATATACATATACATATATTTAATAAAGAATTTTACAGTATTATTTCTTTTGCAGCTCATTTTTGCTCTGCCAGCTGAAACCTCTGTTCTGGGAATGACCAAATTCTAGCCAGAGTGATGAAGAATAACCAAGGATTTGGATCGTGTCAGTGTTTTCTAACAGGATTTGTCATTATTGTAAAGACTGGATGATTGAGATGGTCTTTGCCAGTGGAATAAGATCAATTTGGCCACAGCAAAGGAAGAGTCTGTTACCAGAATGCAGAACTCTTCCTCCAAAAGGCAAGGGAAAGGTTGAGGTGAAACCTCGTGAATGTTTTGTGTGTAAAAACCTCCTTTTTCTGATACGTCTCCTACCAGACAAATCACTTGTGCCCATCTGTTCAGGCAAAATGAGTTTTGTGACCCTAAGGTGGTCCTGCTCCTGCTCATCTGCAAGGAAATAATTCCAGGTCAGGCTCTTCTCCGGAGGAAGCATCTCAACAGTTAAGAACCAGGAGTCTCTTGGCATCACGTCCTGTTCAAGCCCTGTTCTTTGTCTGCATTGGGGCCCTGGCTCCCTTAAGTAAATAAATATCTACTTAATCTTAACACTACACATTTCAGTGCTTTCCTGAACAGAATCCACAGTAAAAATTCATGCCTGTTTTTACTTTCTCAGTGAGCTATGAACACCCCCCCAAACACATGTATTTCAGGCTCGATGATTCCTGGGGGTCCCTCCCAGCTCAGAATATTTCGTGATTCTGTGATTTCCCCAGAATTTAGAATTTCAACCAAAGTCACACAATCAGACCATGAGTTTATACAACGGTTTTCCTTTTCAGATTGCTTCATGAGGGGAAACTTAGGTGAGAGATACAGAAGGAATTCCTCCCTGTGAGGGTGGGGAGGCCCTGGCACACGTTGCCCAGAGAAGCTGTGGCTGCCCCAGCCCTGGAAGTGTCCAAGGCCAGGTTGGACAGGGGTGGGAGCAACCTGGGATAGTGGAAGGTGTCCCTGCCCATGGCAGGAGGTGGGATGGGATGAGCTTTAAGGTCCCTCCAACCCAAACCATTCTGGGATTCTGTGATTGCAGGAAGTTGAACAGTGTCTGACAAGTGGAGAGAGAGAAAGGAGGAGTGTGAAATGAGGAGCCAGTGGGCAGCAGCTGGAGCAGGGCTTTATGGAGGGCACGGGCAAGGAGCAGGCTCCTGGCCTGCCTGTGTGACAGGGTGACAGGCAGGAAGGTTCCTCTACAGGCTAACGTAGAAAGGCTGGAGTAGACATCACATTGGTGAACAGTTTCTCCATGAATGCTCAAACTGGGGCTTTTCTCAAGACTGGAATCCACCCTACCCTGGTCAATGCACATATTCCAGAGGTTTCTTGCTGTGCTTCAAGAGAGAAAGCACATCCTATTGGGTCCCATCGAGGTCCCAGGAGCCAGAGCAGCTGTGAAATCACACTGTGACACAGCTCCTACCCTGCTGCTTCAGGTGTTCGACTCCTGGCATTCCCAGTGAGGGAGTAAAATGAAGGAAAACAGGCAAGAAACAGGGAAACTGCGAGAAATCAGGACTGCTCCCAGCCCGAAGCACCCGGATGAGGAGATGGATCCCAGGGAGGAGTCAGGACCGGGGAGCTGCTGCCTTCCCACTTCAGGGTAAGAGCAGATGAGAGCTGAAGCTCCCAGCTGGCTGGACACACCTCACACATTATACCTGCTTCCTGACCTGCCTTTGAGGGTGGATTAACGTGATTAATTAATAACACACATTCCCTCTGATAAAGACAGGGAGCATCTGGTTCCTTTGAGAACCCCCCATTTCACTGGGTACTTAACTTTCCCAACCTCATGCAGAGCAAAGAGTTGGACACACAGTCCTGGAACTACTGTCCTAAGCCCTACTGGGCCACAGTTTTGGGTGTCCACATCCCAGTCTTTCCTGAAGATTGCAACCCAAATTCAATGGAAGAGCTCTTTCAGCATTCCAAGCCCAGAAAGCATCAAGATTTTAACCAAATCCACCCTTTTCCAGTCAGACTTCTGCAAAACCTGGCCTTGAATGGAGTCAGAGTTCTGTTTTATGGCTCTGGGCAATGCCTAAACATGAGCAATGAATCAGATGACTCATGGGGGAAAGATAAAGGTTCATACGTAAACACCAAAAAACTCTCAAATCTGTTGCCCTGGGATATTTCCTGTTACAACAATAGCTTGGTAACTGTGGAACTTAACGTTTGCCCCCGAGCAAACTTGTTTCACTCCAGATCTTTTTGGCGTGTCAAGACATGGGAGAACTGGGGAAAAAACCCCACAAACGGATTAAAAATTAAAAACCCCTGTCACTGCCTTTTCTGGGCACTGGGGTGAGTGGATAGTCACAAAAATTAGTTTTCTAACTCCTTCCCTCCTTCCCCAAGTTCACGTAAACACTGCCAGGCAATTAAAAAGTTGTTTTGGTTTCTGTTGTTTTGGTTCCAGTCCTTTTACCCAGGGAGGCAGTTTGTTTCCAGCTTGGAGCTCAGTGGTTTAGTCCCCATGGTGTAACAGGGTCCTCAGACTCTTGCTAAAATGACTCCAGCAGCCTGAAACCTTCCCTAATTCCCCTGCAGCCTGTCAGCCAGGACTGGTGGCACAAGCACAGGCCAAATCTGCAACGTTTCTCATTAACAACGCAATCCTTAATCTCTTTTTATTTAAAGGAATGAAACATCTGTAATATGGTAAAAATACTGATGGTCACTTGGCCATTGCAGCCAAGAGCCCAGTATTTGCCATAACTCCTGAATTTGTTACTTAAAAGAGTAATTTAGTCCATATATTGCAGAGATCCTTCAAAATATCCACTCCCTTTAAAATTAGAATTTACTACAGGCTCACCCAGCAAAGAAGCTTGAACTTCTCCGAGCATCTCTTCACAAAAACTATTTCACAACAGAAATACCAACTTCATCAACTATTTCAATTAATGATCACCCAGTAGAACCATCTGGTTATGAGGACTGTGCCAGAGCCCTCGATTTTCTCCTCAAATATCCCAGCTGTCTTTAACTGCCAATCCTGCAGGTTTCCCCACCTGCCATCCCATTCCATGTAACATTTTCAAAGCTTTAAATCAGAGAAATTCAGGTCAGATGAAGAGGCCTGCACCAGTCTGGAGCACAAAAGAGGAGTGTAAATACTCCTTTTTCCCTGTTGAGATTAAAATTGGGGTTTTAGAGACCCACACAATGCATCCACTGTCTGTGAGAAATTCCCCAAATCCCACACATACGTTTTGGATAGTGGAAAATGAGGTACTGTCATCAACATCTGGAACCACAATTTAGGAAGACATTGTGTAACTTTCCCCATGACTGAAACAGCTGAAGAAAACGAAGCCAAGCTGTTCCCAGCCAGGGTCAAAGACAAGGCAGAGATTAATCCTTTTCTGCTCCCAGAAAAGCCCTCCTGAGGTCTGTGTTCAGCTCTATCAGCTAAAGAACTGCCAGTGGAAATAAGACACTCAAGAAAGGAAAATTAGTCACTAAAACGTCATTAAAGGGTTCTTTTATTCCATCTGTAAAAAAGATACACAGAGCTCAATGAAGGGATCATTGGGTGAAATTGTCTGACTTGCACTTGGCAGGGACACCTTCCACTATCCCTGATTGCTCAAACCCCATCCAACCCAGCCTTGGGCACTTCCATCTGGCTGCCACCAAAAACCTCTGTTTCTGAAGGAGGAATAAAACCACACAAAAAGAGGGAAACACTGTCATGGCTCAAAAGAATTCAGGTTAAAAGTTTCTGGTTGATTCAGACATCCCCCAGGCCATGAGGAACCTGGTTCCTCCCCACCCTCCACCTCCTCTATTATTAAGCTGCATATTTTAAACAAAAACTTGAATACTTTTCACCTATTATGGCAAAGGCTCTAAGATCTCCTCAGTCATAGGGAGCTTTTTTTACTATCAAAGCACAGATTCAATATTCCCAGATATTGTTCCCTGTGCTTTGCTGAACCCTCTACTCCAAACTGGAGGCTTGAGCTCACTGACAACATTCCCAAAATCACCACCATCATACACAAGTGAACTGTCAAGTTTTTCTCCAGATAAGTTCATTTTTAAGATGCTCTAAAATCCTATTCAGGCACCTGGCTTGAAACAGCGTTGAATACCCAACAGCACCTTCTCAGTAATTATCAACCACACAGATTAAAAATTTCATACAGAACGTCACTAAACAATGGAAGCATCCAAAATCCTGAATTACCCATCAAACTTACATAAAAACACAGAATAATCCAGAGATCCCTGCACTCCTACACCAGCCCCCTCCACTCTGGGAATTTTAAATGAGCTGAATTAATTTTCCACAGCTTTGTTACGCCCCACGTTTGCTGAATTCATCACCAAAACTATCTTTATCATGTCAGCTGGGATATAGAGATGAGGTTGTCATGGCTGGGTGTCCCAGAGTGACAGAGACCACGTTTGGCACTGAATTCCAAAGAGGAGCCTCAAATACTTCAATGATGCTCACACCTCTCATCCAGCACCAGAGGATGTAGTCTCAAGCTGCTCCAGGGGAGGTTCAGGGTGGACATCAGGAGGAATTTCTTCATGGAAAGGGGGATTAAACACTGGAAGAGGCTGCCAGGGGCACTGGTGGAGCCCCCATCCCTGGAGGTGCCTAAGGAAGGACTGGCTGTGGCACTCAAGTGCTCTGGGCTGGGGACAAGGCAGGGATGGGTCGAAGGTTGGACTCGATGATCCTGAGGGTCTTTTCCAACCTCAGTGATTCTGTGATTCTGTAAAATAGTGTTGTTAAAAAGTCTGCACACAACAGAGCAGAAGTGGTGGGATTTAGCCTCGTTCCAAAGGTGTGGCTGCCCAGGATGGATCCAGGTACAGCCACAGACTGACTGTTCATACACTGTGGCTGGTCTGTGCTGCAGGAGAACACAGGACTGGCCCGGCTGTGTTTGGGGGTGTCCCCGAGGAACACCCAGCCAAGGACAGGATTGGAGTCACTGGGAGTGAGAGGCGAAGGAATGAACAAAAATGGGATTTTGGGGGAGAATTGGGGAACACAGAAGCAGGACACGACTCCCTCAGTTCCTCGGTGGAGGCAGCAACAGGCAGTGTGACAGTGTTACCCTGGAAACTGCTCTGCCCAGCTCCTGCCCTCCCAGTGCCAACTGCGTCGCCATGGAAACCCGTGTCACCGCCGATGTGGAACAAAGGATGGGAAACTGCAGCAAGAAGTCCCCTTCTCCCACCCTCCCTCCGCACACGACAGGCGAGGCACACCTGGAACGTGAGGCAGAGAGGGGTTTGCTTCCCTGGGAACCAGAAACCTCTTAAAAATACCTGCCCCATAAGTCAGTTTGGGTCTGTTGCCCTCCTAGTGCATCCCATGGTGCTCCTGCCCTGGTTTTATTCACCAGGGAAGTAAATCGGGACAGGAGATGTGCAGCTCCCTCCAGCAATACGTGCAAAAGGATCTGCAAAGCCACCAAGAGGTAAATTTAATAAAGATCAACCCCTTGATTAGGGTTTTGGGAGAGTTTACCCTCCTGTGGTCCCGGAAACTTCCCCACACGTTCCCATGGGGAGTAATATCTGCTGTGTCCCCTCAGAAAAGATCAGCTCTTTTGGTTTAGGCAGATAATGAGATCATCCGCGGCTCCACTGGATCAGATTAAACACGGATAATGCTCTGAATCCTCCTGCTTTAGAGACGACTGTGAGATGAAGAGGATGAGGAAGAAATTGCCCCATGAGCACTTTATTCCACCTTTGTCCAGTAAAGGATTTTCACAGAGTTGCTGCTGAGCTCCCGGCCACTGTCCCATCCCACTGTCGTGGGATACGCTGGGCACGAATGGATCCTGCTTCTGAACTTCCACCAAAGTCCCTCAAAATCTCCTCTTGGCTTCCATATTCCTCACTTGACTTTCATGTTCTGGTGCTCAGCTTCCAAGAGAGCACTTCTGTCAGTCATGGGAACACTTATCTGAGCTCATTAAAGCACTTAATTAAGACGCATTAATTCTGCCTCACCTCCAGCTTCTGCTTGGTGTCAGCTCCCAGAAGGTGTCATTGCAGATCTCCAGGTAGGAGGCTCTCCCCAGGAACTCGGCACTTCCAGCACACTGCACACACAGGGAGGATTTCGGGGTGAGGTTCTCCCAGCACAGGCACCCACGGAGCTGCTCCTGCAGCCGGGTGCCCACCGCCCTGCGGAGATCCCTGCCGGCATTTCATTCCCGGGTGGAGCCACTCGACACATCCACTGCAAGGGACCTTTGTGCCTCAAACACCTCAGGTCCACCCGTCAGCAGGGATGAGGATGCAGCTGCTCTGCCTGTGTACAGCTTTAGGGCAAGAAGGCAGCACGCCCCAAACCCTGTCCCCGTTTGTGCCCCGTGTGCCATCCGCACTCACTCCTTGGGATGTGACACCAAACAAAGTCTTTCTGGTAAAACCCTCTCAACGAGGTCTCTCTCCCAGCCACCTGTATGCTCTCGGGGATGTGTTCAATTGCTCTGGAATGATCCCCTTCTGTGAGGAAGGATCCACGATTCCCTGCGTGGTGAATGACTTCCCGCTGGCCGTAGGCAAAGGTGGTGCCACTGTAGCCCTTGGTGACACCCCAGAAATGGGGGAAAACCAAATAAGATAAATATCCATCCTTTGCCTAACTGGGAATACATCATCCAGACTCCATCCCACCTCCTGAAAGGTATTTTAAAAGAAGAGCTGGAAGTAAACATCAAACAACTGCCTGATCTTCGCTTGCCACCAGAGTATAATTATTAGGAAATTAGCATATAAATCAATGTTTTTCTCTCAAAACTCATGAAGCAATGCAGGTGTTGCAAAGCAGTTGACAACACTTAGAAAACCAGAATGTTTTTATGATAGGGCATAAAAATCTTATGAAACCCAGAGTGACAACTAGAACTCTGGTTGGTTGTGGAGGTCCAAAGGGATGGTCTTTAGCTTTGAATATTTTCTCTTAGCAAGCTGCTCACTGTCACTTCTTCCGATTTCAGAGAAGCATGATAGGAACAGAAAATACTTGCATTTCTTAAGGGTTAAATAAAAAAATGAACCTATTAATCTAATAATCTGCTGTGTCAGACTCTGCTTGTTCTCACAGTCAGGAACTTCTGTCTTAAAGCCATCATGAGCCATCTAATCCATGTTTCTTCTAACAAAATTGGGGTTTTGGGGGAGGTTGAGCTTTTTCTGCTCAACTAGTTCTTTCTCATCCCAGCTGTTTTCCATGCTGAGGTGTTAACATGGAAATAAAAAGCTCCCCTCTCATTTTGTCAATCTAAACCAGGCTGAGGTTCCCCGTCTTCTCTAAGGTTTCTCTCACTTGACAGTAAAAATGTCCATAAAATCATCAGGAGTCTTGTTTGTCCCCTTTCTTCTCTAGGGCCTGTTCATGAGAACCTCTGCTCTGTAGCCAGGCTGGGAGAGCTGGGGGGGTTCACCTGGAGAAAAGAAGGTTCCAGGGAGACCTGAGAGCCCCTTCCAGGGCCTAAAGGGGCTCCAGGAGAGCTGGAGAGGGACTGGGGACAAGGGGTGGAGGGACAGGACAGGGGAATGGCTTCCCACTGCCAGAGGTCAGGGTCAGATGGGATACTGGGAAGGAATTCTTGGCTGTGAGGATGGGGAGGCCCTGGCACAGGTTGCCCAGAGAAGCTGTGGCTGCCCCTGGATCCCTGTAAGTGTCCAAGGCCAGGTTGGACAGGGCTTGGAGCAACCTGGGCTGGTGAAAGGTGTCCCTGACCATGGGAGGGAACGAGATGATCTTTAGTGTCCCTTCCAACCCAAACCATTTTGGGATTTTACGATATAAACATCCACCTAAACCAATTCAATGTAATTCTCTTCTTGGTGTTCCTGCTGGATGCTAAAAATGGTTTTTTCTTCCCAGAGGAGGACACTGCTTGCCCTCCTCTGCACCCCAGGGTTGCAGCTAAACCTCTTGAAGTAGCAGACAGGGCTGTTTCTGTCCATAAGTCACAGAATCCCAGAATGGTTTGGGTTGGGAGGGACCTTAGAGCTCATCTCATTCCATGCCCTGCCATGGCCAGGGACACCTTCTGGTGTGGGGAAGGTCCAGGGGATCCTGCTCCACTTAGGGATCAGCTGTCCACATACAGCTCCTCAGCCCACATCCCCAGCCATGTGTCCACAGAATCACAGAATATCCTGAGCTGGAAGGGACCCACAAGGAGCATCCAGTCCAGCCTCTGGCCCTGCACAGACACCCCAACACTCCCACCCTGTCCCTGAGAGCTTTGTCCAAACCCTCCTGGAGCTCTGGCAGCCTTGGGGCTGTGCCCACTGCCCTGGGGAGCCTGGGCAGTGCCAACCACCCTCTGGGGAGAGGGGTGATCACCCCTTTTCCTGAGATCCAACCTAAACCTCCCTGACACAGCTCCAGCCATTCCTTGGGTCCTGTCACTGGGCACAGAGAGCAGAGATTGGTGCTGCCCATTGTGAGGAAGCTGCAGACCCTGATGAGCTCTGCCCTCAGGCTCCTTTTCTCAAGGCTGAACAGACCCAGTGCCCTCAGCCACTCTTCGTATGGCTTCCCCTCAGGGCCCTTCACCATCTCTGTAGCCTCCTTTGGACACTCTAATGGCTTAATATGTCTGTGGTGCCCAAAACTGCCCCCAGTGCTGGGTACATGGTGTTTGCCTGGGTGTCCACTCACCTGCAGGAGCGGGTCAGTGATGTCGCTGTAGCTGTGCCCGGTGCTGTGGTTGGTGCTGTGCTCAGCTCTGTGCTCTGCCTGGTGTTGTGCTCAGTTCTGTGCCCAGTGCTGTGCTCAGTTCTGTGCTAGGTGCTGTGCCCAGTGCTGTGCCCAGTTCTGCGCTCAGTGCTGTGCTCCCGGTTGAACACCCCGTCGAAGGTGAGCTCTCTGGGGGCTCTCTGGGGCCGTGGGGTTTGGAGGAGGCACCAGCCCGTGCTGCCCACGATCGTCCAGCACCTCAGGGTCGCCTCGTGCTCGCTCAGGGCCCAGCAGTGAACAGCCACCTTCACTGCCCCCCAGCCAGCGCCCACTCACCCCACACACCAGGGTCACCCCCCACACGCTGGTCAGACCCACACACCCAGGTCAGCCCCATACAACCCGATCAGCCTCTCACACCCAGGTCAGTCCCACACACCTGGCTCACCTTACATACACCCAGATCAGCCACACACAACCCAGGTCAGCCCTCCCCCCCCCCACCCCAGATCAGCCCCACATACCGCGGTCAGCCCCACAACACCCTGCTCATCCCCACACACCCGGGGCACCCCACATACCCCGATCAGCCCCCCCCCCGATGGATCATTCCCACACACCCGGACCAGCCCCTCACGGTGGGGTCAGTCCCACACGCCCGGTTCCCTCCACACTCCCGGCTTGGCCCCACAAGCACTTGCTCGGCCGGGCTGGGAAGCACCGGTGGGCGGGGGAAGGTTGGGGCAACCCCAAGGCGGGGTCTGCTCCCCTCGGTGGTTGGGAGCGCTCACCCCTCGCTGGGGACATGCAGGGGAAGAAGGACCCCTGAGCCGGGGGGCTGGGGGAGAAGGGGAGAGCATGGAGGGAGAGAGCTGGGGAGGGATGGAGGGAAAGGGGGAAACTGGCAACAAACCTGAGAGAGGACTAGGGCAGGTCAGGGAGGGAAACCCTGAGGGCAGGAAACCCTGGGGGCAACTTTTGGGAACCGGGACAAGCCGAAGGGGGGCTGAACGAGGGAAAACGAGATGCCGGTGCCGGGCAGGTCCGAGGGAGCGCAGGGGACTCCGAGGGAGTCTGGTGGGCTGAGGGTCCCGAGGGGTGAGGGAAGTGCAAGGGCACACGTGCACGTGTGCAAGGGGGACATGAGGGGGCGTGCCCGCGTGTGCAAGGGGTGGGCACGAGGGCAGGTGTGCAAGAGGGGGTGCGCGGGGGCATATGTAAGGGGGGCACAAGGGCACACGTGTGCAAGGGGTGGGCACGAGGACATGTGTGCAAGAGGGGGTGCACGGGGGCACAAGGACACTCGTGTGCGAGGGGAGGTGCTCGAGGACAGGTGTGCACGACACAGCGCACAAGGGGCCGTGAGCGTGTGGTGGCACCGGTCCTCGGCTGTGCCAGTGCGCGGGTGTGGCTCCCGCGAGGGCAAGAACCTGCGTGTGCCACCACAGGTGCGTGTGAGTGCACGGCTGCAGCGTGCGTGGGGCTGCAAGGGCGCGAGGGGTTGAGCTCGCACGGGTGTGGGAGTGCAAGTGCGCGGGCACGCGGGGTGTGACAGCACGAGCACAAACACCCGGGGCGGTCGTGTAAGCGTGTGGGCGCATCACGCGAGTGTACAGGGGCTGCGAGTGCACGGGTGTGAGCTCCCGGGGGGGCACACGTGTGGGCACACGGGCGTGCGACACCGCGCAGCGCGGGCCGAGTGTGAGCAGCCAGCAGAGCCCCGTCCGGATGCACAGGAGCCGTTTATTGCCGGACAGCGCGCGCAGCCCGCGGGAGGCAGGGATGGATAAGGCAGATGGCAGCCAGTTAAAGCTCGAGGGGGCCGGGGGACAGCCGTGCACGGGGAGGGGGGGCCGGGCCTACCCCCGCTCGTGCTGCACCCCGATGGGGGCAGAGGGGGCCCAGGCGGACTCCCCCCCGCAGGCGCCGGCCCCGCCGCCGGGGTCCCGCTCCTCGTAGCCGGGGTTGCGGTGGCCGGGGGCCAGGCGGCAGAAGCAGCCCCCCGGCGCCCCCGAGTAGTGGGCCAGGAGGGCGGCCACGCTGGCGAACTCGGCGTTGGAGTGCTGCCGTCGGCACCGGAGCGGGAGAGAGGGCAGAGGGGAGAGGTGAGCCCCCCGTGAGGGCCATGCAGGGATGCCCACGAGCCCGTGTGCCCACGCGGCTCTGCACCCCTGGACTGAATGTACCCCACACCAAATACCTGTGTACCCGTGCACGAGCACACTCATGCCCCAAACACAGACCTGTGCCTGTGCAGCAGGTGCCCACAGATGCGGGACATGCCCCCGTGATTGTGCTGCAGGTGCCCACAGACCCAAGGTACCCACGTCCTGGGCACATGAGTCAAATAGAGCCGTGCACCCCCTGCCCCTGTGCACGTGTATATTGGTGTACCTGTGCCCCGTGTGTGCACACACAGCTGCCCCTGCGCACTGATACACCCACAAGGCCTGTAGGGCTGTGAGTCAGACACACCCATACACCTGTGCACCACGTACCCATGCACAGATGTACTTGGCCACCCACTAATCGGATGTATTTACACACCAAAGTGTGGGTGCACCTGTGTGCCTTGCACAGATGCACCTGTGCCCCAGTGCACCCACAAATGCCCTGACACCCCTGTGCACCCCACACAGGTGCCCCTGAGCACTGATGCCCTTACACTCCCGTGCATCCCTGCACCAAGGCACCAGTTCATCATGGACAGATGGACCAAATGAACTTGCATGGGCATCAAATGCATGGACACACCAGTGCACCCATGTCCCGACTGTATCCATGTCCCAATGTGTCAGTGCATCCACGCACAGATGCACTGACACACCAGGGCATCCATGCACTAATGCACCCAGTGTTTGTTCACACCAGTGCATCCATGTCCTGATGCACCAACACACCAGTGCATCAGTGCACAAATGCACCAAAAGCACTTATAGCCCCAGGGCACCCCTGCACAGGTGGTCTCAATGCACCTACACGGTGTGTCAAATGCACATATATACCAGTGCATCCGAATGCCAACACACCAATGAATCCATGCACAGGCACACCAGATGCTTGTACACATTGGTGCATCCATGCACAGGGGCACCCAGTGCCCTCATACACTCCATCCGTGCATCCATGCTCCACTGCAGCCGTGCACAGATGCACCAATACCCCAGGGCATCAATGCACAGATGCAGAAAATGCCCTTTTACCCCAGTGCACCCCCACAAGACCCATCACATGCACTTACCCCGGTGCAACCCTGCACTGCTGCAGCCCCGCAGCAAACACACTCGTGCCCCCAACCCACCCTCACCCGCCGCCCCCGCGCCGCCCCGGGCTCACCTCCACGCAGAACCTGCCCTGGTGTGTCCTGAGGAGGCCGTAGGACACGACGCCGCAGGGCGCCCGCACCCACAGGCACCAGCGCTTGGGCAGCCCGGGCTCGGGGCGCAGCAGGAACGCTCCGGGCACGTCCCGCCGCAGCAGCGCGACCCCCGCGTCCCTGGGGACAGGGGGTGGGCACAGGGGGTGGGCACAGGGGGTGGGCACAGGGGGTGGGCGCAGGGGGCGAGGGGCGGCCCCCGCGCACTCACCTGGCGATGCCGGCGAAGGCCCACACGCTCTCGGCGAGGACGCTCTCGTTCTCGGGCAGGAGGGCCAAGCTCCGCGCGCCTTTGCTCTCCCATCCCGCCGCCGCTGCGGGAGCCCGTCAATCCCCTCTTTGCCCCCAGAGCCCCCCGATACCGGGGCCGCGTGTGCCCCCGTGCCTCGGTTTCCCTGTGCCACTCACCGGCGTCGCGGGGCGGCTGGTGGAGCTGCCCCTCGGCCCCGCAGTCCCTGTAGGCCCCCGAGCGCAGCACTTTGCTGCGAATGGCTTTCTTGCGCACCAGCACCGGGGAGCAGTAGGGGTTCCCCGGGCGCCAGGAGCCGGCTCTGCCCTCCGCCTCCGGCCGCCGGTCCTGGGGAGGGGATGGAGGGGCTGTGAGGGGGGCTGGGGGCTCTGGCTGTGGGGAACGGCGTGTGAAACACCGCGCAGGAAAAAAAGGCCGTGGAAGAAACGCAACACCAAAAAGGCGACGTCGAAGGTGCGACATCAAAGACGTGACCCCAAAAAACGCGGCACCGAAAAAGCAACACAAAAAAAAAGCAACGAAGATGCTGCACCGAAAAAGCTACGCCAAAAATATGACACCAAAAACGCGACGCCAAAAATGAGACAAAGGTGCTACACCAAAGAAGCGGCACCAAAAATGTGACACCAAAAAATGCGACGCCAAAAATGCAACACCAAAAAAAAGGGACGCCAAAAATGAGATACTAAAGGTGCACCACAAAAAATGCGACACCAAAAATGCTACACCAAAAAATGTGACACCAAAAATGTGACACCGAAAATGCTACACCAAAACACCATGAAGAAAAAAATGCTGTGGGGAAAAATGCTGTGGACTAACTGCAACACCAAAAATGCTGTGCAAAACACCAAAAAAAAAAAAAATGTACAAAAAAAAAAAAAAAAAAAAAAAAAAAGAAAAAAAAAAAAAAAAAGCCACGTGCAAGATACTGGAAAAAATGCAGTGCAAAAAATGCTATACAAAAAAAATGCAGTCAGAAATGCCACGCAAAAAGCACCCTGCAAAAATCATCCTGCAAAAAATGCCGTGCGAAAAAATGAGATGCCAAAAAAAAAAAAATGCAAGAAAGTGATGTGCAAACCATGATATGAAGAAAAAGTGCTGTGCAAAACACCATGGAAAAATGCCACGCAAAAAAAGGTCATGGAAAACATGCCATGCAAACAAACCACCATGCAAAGGATGCTGTGCCAAAAAACCCCAACAGTGCAAAAAGGACTGTGAAAAACCCCCACTGTGCAAAAATGGTCTGCAAGAAATGCCAAACCGAGACAGCCATGCAAAAGAATGCCATGTAAAAAAGTTATATGAAATAATTCCGTGTAAAAAAAATTATACGGAAACACTCCGTGAAAAAAAAAGTGCAGTGTGAAAATACCAGGGGGAAAATACCGTGCAAACCTGATGTGAAAAAAAAAAAATGCTATGCGAAAAAAAACCTGCCGTGCAAACACGCCCGATGCCAAATTCCAGGCAGGAAAAGGCTGTCAAGGAAAAAAACCATCTAAAACAGAAGGTGAGGACGGACTGCGCAGGGCGGACCCTGCAAAATGCACCGGGCAAAAACGCACCCTTCAAAATGCCGTGTAAGCGTGAAGCGCTGCACTCACACCACCGTGCAAAGGGGACACGCGAGAAATGCCGTGTTAGACCGTGCTGTTTGATGACGTGCTGAAAAGGCCAGGCAAGAGCTGCCCGGGAAAACGCGGGGCAAAAAAAAAAAACCAAAAAACTCTGCCAAAAGCACCGTGCTGTTGTGAAAGACATGAGGTGGTTCTGTGCTGGGCCGTCTCTGGGATGGTCCCGGTGGGTCCCCGCCAGCCCAGAATATCCTGTGAAACGCCGTGCAAAGGAAAGGCCATGCGAGACACCGTGCAAACATCGGGCTGTGCAAAAGCACGGGTAAGAAAACACTGCAAAAATCCCACGCGTGAGAGCCCCCGTGGAGCAGCACCCGGGGAAGGGGCTGTGGGCACCCACCCCTGTGCCCAGCGAGCCGAGGCCGGCGGGCGCGGGCAGGCGCCGGAACGACACCAGGGCGTTGACGTTGCGAGACACCTCGTCGGGGTTGAGGGGCTCCCGCAGCACCCCCGGCCCCGGGGGCTCCCCCTCGCCCGCCTGCTCCTCGGGATGCGCCAGGAGGTGGCAGAGCTGGAAGCAGCGGCAGAGCAGGAGGTGCAGGGTCTGGACCTGGGGGACGTGAAAGACGCTGCGTGCAAATCTAAAAAATAATGATAATTGTGGGGGGGCTAGGGGGATGGGGGAAGGTTGGGCCGCCACCTCTCCCGGGAGCCCCACGAAGAGGTGGCAGAAGAGGGTGCTGGGGGGGGCTGTGGGGGTTGCGGGCCACGAAGGCGAACTGGCGGTCGGCGAGGCAGCACGTGCTGTACAGGATCCGGCGGAGAGCGTGGGCCATCAGCAGGGTCTGGGGGACCAGAGGGGGGTCAGGGGGACCCAGCACCCCTGGGGGAGTCCTCCCAGTGTCACCCCTATTTGCCCAGAAGTTTGCAACCCAACTTAGAAAAGCAAAGCAGGTTTGCAAGCAAAAAGTTCAGAGAGGTGCAGCCCCCCTGGGGCACATTTCCGGCAGCACCCAGAACCCAAGAACCTCCCCAGCACCCTTGACCACCTCCAGCACCTCTGACCCCCCTTCCAGCATCCCTGAGCCCCCAGTGCACCTGACCCACCCCACAGCACCCCACAGTGGCCCCTCCCCAATACACCCGACTCTCTTCCCCCCAAACACCCCTAACCTCCCTTCCCAGCACCTCAACACCCCTGACCCCCTACCCAGCACCTCTGACCCCCTTCCCCAGCAACTCTGACCCCCATCCCCAGTACCCATGACACCCCCCAGCACCCCGACCCTCCTCAGCACCCCTGACCATCCTTCCCAACACCCATGACTGCCCTCCTCAGCACCCCTGACCCTCCCCAGCACCCCTGAACCCCTCCACAGCACTCACGACCCTCTCATCACCCCTGACCCTCCCTACCATCACTGACCCCCCCCCGCACCCCTGACACCCCCCCCCAGCCCCCTACCTCCCCGTCAGCGCCGTAGACCTTCAAACCCTGCAAACTGAACCTCAGCACCACCAACCTCCTCCTGGGACAGTCCTGTCCGGGGGACATGTGGCACTGGGGGGGCCGGGCTGTGGTACCCGAGGGTCCCCCCCAGGATTCGGGGTCCCCCCGTTTCCCAGTGAGGGGGAGCAGTGGTAGATGCCCCACCTTCAGTGCCTGCAGCTGCTCCTCCAGCCGCCCCCCCTGCTGCTGCAGGTCCAGCTCCTCCACCACGAAAGAACCCACGTACTGGGGGGGCAAAACCCACCCGTGTCAGCAACAACCCCCTGATGCTGCAATTGCTGCCCCCCAAGGCAACCAGCCCACCCTGAGACGATGTTTTGGGGGATCATGGGGATGTAGCTGCACCCAAACCCCATCTTGGGGTTTGTGTCCCCCCCCTCATGGGTAAGTCACCTCTGCTGGTTTGGTGACACCCCGGGCTCGCTGTTGGGGGGCCGCAGGGTCCAGCCCCCGCCCGTTGGACGACTTCTTCTTCATGGCAGTGGGGTTTTGGGGGTGAAGGCTGGATCAGGATGGGGTTAAGCAGCTTCGGTGCCACATGTGAATTATCCGGAGCCCCCCGGGGCGGTGATGCTGGAGCACTCGGTGGGAGCCTGGACGTGGTCCCTGGTCACCGTCCCTGCGAGGAGGGAGGGGACAGACACAACCTGCCCCCACCGTCCCCTGTTTCCAGTCCCTTCACGGAGCTCCCCAAGTCCTGACGCCAATGCAGATGTCCCCAGGTCCTGTCCCCGTCACAAGGGTTCTCCCATACCGGCCCAAACGAAGGGGTCCCGAAGTCCTGACCACAATCCCAACGTGAAGATCCTGCATCCCAGACCCAACACAAGGGTCTCCGTGTCCCAGCCCCCTGTGGCCTCTCCCTCTGTGACCCCAGGTGCCATGAGAGCTCCCCACAGCCTGACCCCGACCCCAAGACAAAGGTCCCCGTGTTCCAACCCTGACACCACAGTCCCAATGTCCTGATCCCAAGTGCAATGTGAATGTCCCCCTGTCCTGCCCCTGAGTTCCACGCGAGGGTCCCATATCCCCACTCCGAGCAGGATGCACGCAGTCCCTGCGTCCTGACCCTGAGGGCAATGTGAGGAGCCCCAAATCCCAACCCCAAACGTGATGGATGCAGTCCCCACATTCCTCCCCCAAAAGAACCCCAAGAGATCCCTGCATCTCGAGCATGCAGTCCGGACCAAGGGAGTTGCACGTGCAGCCCCACATCCCAAACTGCAGCAAGATTTTTTTAAGGTTCCAATCCCATCCTGCCCCTCTCCCAGCTCTGCATCCCCTGTTCCCGCTGTCCCTGCATTCCGAGACCCCCGTGGCTGTCCTTCAGGGGTGATCCCCAAAACACCAGCGATGGGGGCAGCAGGTTTGGGGATGCTTTTTCGGCCAGAGCACCCACCAAGGGATGTGCCCGGCCCCTCTCCAGACACCCCAAGGGGGTTTGTGCTTCGCAGCCCTCGGCCGGGCTGAGACCGGCGCAACTCGTGTCACGGAGACTCAGCCACCTGGGTGCAAACACGTGGGACAGGGGAGTCCGGCTGCACCAGGTGCACCTAATGAGGTGTGGGGGGTCCCTCCGGTGCCGCCACCCGCGTTACAAGCTCAGGTTCGCCCCTCTCATTCCAGCTCAATTTGGGGGGTCTCCCCCCTCCCCCAGCCAATCCGAGGACAGGCAGCCCCCAAGCCCCGCCCCGCTTTTCCCACGCTTCATTCCTCAATGGAGCCCCCGGCCCACCGGCCACCCTGGGGGTCCCCAAGGGAGGGATGCTGACCCCAAAATCTGGGGTGCGCGTGAGCGTGTGCGTGACAGCGGGCACCGAGCATCCCCAGGGACCCCCATCCCGCCGGGCCCCCATCCCGGCTCACGGGCAGCTCCCGCTTGGATGGCTCCGGAGAAACGCAGGTGAAAAATTCCCGGTGCTGCGGGTCCCGGCCTCCGCTGGTTGTTTTCCCTTTGCCGGTGGCTCCTCCGGCAGCTCCCGCCGTGGCGCAGGGATGCTCGACCCGCTGGCGTCAGGCCCGCGCCACCAGCCAGGCCCCGGCGAGCCCGAGCCCACGGAGCCCACGCCGGGCACGGGGCAGGCAGCGAACTCCCATTTCCTGCCTCCGATCTGCCCGCGATGAATCACCGCAATTTTCCTCCCCGGTTCTCTCCGTTTCTTGGAAGCGACGGCGAGCAGGAACGCTCGCTCCGGCTTTTTGGAAAACGCGGCTGCGGCTGATTTTCTCTCTCCCTTTCCCCCTCTCCTCCAGCGTGCCCGGCGGAGCAGCGATTTCTAACCCTGACACGCACACACGTGGTCGCTTGCTCGCTCGCCACCCCCTGCTCTGATGCTCAGACCCTTTTCACCCCAATTTCTACATTCCTTGGGGAGTTTTGCCCACTGCTGCTTGCTTTTGCCAGAAAAAAATAAAGAGGGGTGGCTCCGACCTCACTGCAAAGCACCCACGTAACCCAGAGCCTCCCCAGCACCCTCTGTCCGGCTGAGGCGAAGCTGCTTCCAGCCCCAGGGATGCACTTGGCTCCTGGAATGGGAAAGCAGCAGTCTGGGGAGGTGATGGGGTCTAATGCCCTGGGATGCATCCAAAAATCCTGTCTCGTGCCCTAGTGATCCCAAGGGTGCAAGGAAAAGCATCCAACCAGTGGCATTCAAACCTTGGGTCACAGCCAGCACCAGCTGCTTCAAGACACCGTGAGATGTGCTGGCAGAGCCACCGGAACAATCGATAGCGTAGAAACGGGGGAAAAAAGGAAAAAACAGGACAGATGGGGCTGAAGAAATAACATAACGGAGCCCAGTCTGGCCAGGAAGTGGAGACTGGAGAAGAGCGAGCGGCGGAGGCAGCATGAACCTCCCTGGATGTGCTTGCTGTGTTGGTAATGAAGGTTTTCCAACCTGGGAAGCAGGGATCAATCCTTTGGATTAAATACAACCAGCTCTGTGGCTTTTGGCCTTGGCTCAGTGTGCAGAAATCACCTAATTCAAACCACAGCCAAAGAATCTGGTGATGACCAAGGGAGCCAACAGCTGGTTTTGGCTCCACTCAAAGTTTGAGGTGCACTTGCTCAGGTGTGAAAAACAGGTGTCATCCAGAGCAGTGTTTTTTTTTAAAAAAAAATCTGTGGTGTTGTTGGTGCTGGAATGTTACTGGGAAGAGGGAGGTGGCAAAACGCCCAGTGGTTGAGTGAGGACTCCTCGTCCCCATAAATATCCTACCACTGAGAGAAGTTTCTCAGATTTGACTCACTGCAACACCAACAAACCCCCTGCTTTCAGCACAAGTAGCCCCAGGAACGAGCCATTAACCAATGTCTCTAATTGCTTTACATCCCTGTGGATTATTATTTGATTGGAGCTTTCACTCTCTCTTTCCCATCAGCTGTGACTTTTAGCCCGCTGTTTGCACCCTCCTTACAGGGCCGGGAACAATTTGAGCTATTTCTATACGAATTTTTTTAACTCTCCGTTGTTAGAGGCAGCACACTGGGATGGCAACTGAAAAGAATAAATTCAATAAGGCTATTTTCTCCCTTTCTGCGTGTGCAATTCCCCTCCTCACAGCACGGTACGTGCACAGCTCTTTGCAGAGGCACGTTGGAGGCTGTCAGATCCCATTGGAATTGCTGCCCTGGGCACGGCAGAGCCGGGGACGTGGAAAGATGTGCTTTGAAGGTGCTGCTGTGTTGAGCAGGGCAGGGGGAGGAGGTTTCAGCTGGGCTTTTTTTGTCCCCACTGATCCCACAGGGGGAAGAGGAGCAGCAAGAGGTTCCAACAGAGCTTCCTTCTTGCTCACCTTTGTCTCCAGAAAAACCAGGGAAGAGAAAGGTCAGGAGCTGGTCCAACTACAGAGCTTGGCAGGGGCTCAGGCTAAATCATGCTGGCACTGTGCTTTTAACAAAGATCTGCATCTGCAGCAATCTGTGGTGACTGTATTCCCTCCTCTCTGCCTTTCCTGGAGGAGAAGCTGTGGCGAGGAGAGAAAGGACACAGGAAGCAGGCCTGGAATCTAGTTTCATTTTATTTTAGCAAACCGCATGTTCTTCACTTATCAACATCTCTACATTAGCAATTGTATAGCTCTCCAACTTCTCTTTAAAAAAGGGTAAACAAGAGGGGACAAACTCAGGCTTTTTCATCTCTTAAAAACATCTGAAAGTTGGATTCAAGAAGACTTTGATATATTTTGGTTTCAAGGTAACAGATGTGGTGTGGAAACACTAATTCAAATCACCCGCCTGATCGAGAACTGCCCCTTTTGGAGCCCCTCTGGCACCAGACCCTCAGGAGAGGCCGAAGATGCGACTCACCCTCGTCACACAGCCCTGGCTGGTCGGGAGGAGCTGGATGTGCCACCCCCTCAGCCCGTGGCTCTGAGGAAAGCAGCACCTTGGGGCTCAGTGCAAGTGCTGTATGTACACGGCTCCCCACGGAAGCGCCAAGGCCCTCGGCATGCAGGGATCTAGGGAGGACTCTTCTGCCGCGGCACCTTCTCATTAAAGAATCACATTCCCCCAGTCATCCTGTTCCTGCTGTCTAAAGATCTTCTTTGAAGAATTGTTTTAAAAGCCAACCCTCCCCCCGGAACCCACGCGGAACACCGTAAATGTACAGATTAGAGACGTCCTAGAAAAGTCCTAAAATTATTGCAGAAACTAAAGATGACTCGTTCCAGGGGAGGGGCAGGCACGAGGCACAGCATCGAGATCTACCGAACGCTCGGGGCGGTTTGATTTAGTTTTCAGCTTTTCCCCCATCATTCAAGAAAACAAAAATAAAAAAAAATTAAAGAAGTGTTTAAGCATCAGAACTAAAATACAAATGCACGTTGACTTATAAAACAAGATTGTGGATTTGACCATGGGGTTCCCTGACACTGGAAACATTTTACTTTTTTGCCCGGAGAGATTTCCTCATGGTGGATTTGCCCTTAGCAGAGGGTTTCACTTCCTTCCTCCCGCTGGCTGCTGGTTTCTTGGAAGAGCTGCCACCAGAGGGTTTCTTGATGGCTGGGGCTGCTGGTTTGGCTTTCTTAGCAGGGGTTTTAACCTTGGGAGGGGGCTTTGCTTTCCCCCGGCGGGCTGCGGGGGTTTTCCTTGGCTTGGGTTTGGACTCTCTTCGCTTCATCGGAGGGGCCCTGCTCCGGGATTTGGGAGGTGGCCTCTTCTGCATCCTGTCAGGAAGAGAGAGCACAGGAGCTCAGTGGAGGTGTGAGGGTACCAGGAGCAGAGCTGCTGCCAGCAATTTGCATTAACGAGGCAGATCTTGGCAACCCTGTTCTTTGCCATGGCTGCTCCTCCTGCAGCAGCACATCCCATGAGCTACATCCCAAAGAACAAGAGCTCCTCCGGTAGCTCTCACCACGCTGAGCTCTTCCCATCCCCACAGAGCTCTGCCAGCGAGGCTTCCAGCCCCTTCCTTAGGCAAATAAACAAATAAATAATGACAGTGAATCAGTGAGCTGTCAGAACAATTAAGAGCCCTAAGCACTCTTTCTCCTCTCTAAATGGAATTTCATTACTTAATGAACAACACTCATCTTAAATCCACATTCTGAGTGAGGGCAGGTCTCATCTGGCTACAGAGCTGCAAATAATACTGTAGGGAAGAGTTTTCCTAAGGAAACACTTAGTAAATACAAAAAGTCCCATGTAAAACATCACACTTTATAAAGCAGGAGACTAAAGGCAATATGAAGAACAAACACAGGCTCTCTCTCATCTGGAGGAAGAAAGACAAAAGCTTCAGATTATGGAATGGGGGAGATCAGTATCTCTGGAGCAAGGAATAATTAGAAACTTCTTCCAACACCTGTGAGTAACAGCCCTGTGGATAAATGACCACACCAAGAGTCACCTGAGCACTCTACAGCTCTGACAGACACTTTTATTTCATCCAAAGGAGCCCACTCATCTCTCATGCTGCCATACCTCTTCTTTGGTGGGGGCTCTTCCTCCTCAGACTCTTCCTCTTCAGATTCTTCTTCCTCCTCAGATTCCTCCTCTTCTTCCTCATCAGATTCCTCGGAGTCCTCATCCTGCTGCTTCTCTGGGTAGAGCACATCTGGGCTACAAGAGGGGTCTGGTCAGAGTGTGATTTGGTTCTAAGGATATAACTCCAGGGTTGGCAGGCCTTGGATAAGTCTGGCTCTCATCTGACACAGCAGATTCCCCCTAAGGTTACAGCTTTGAGCCTAATCCAGAAATGCCCCCAGAATTCTGTGATTGCTGCTATCCCAAACCAACATTCCTTACTCTCTGCAATGGTAGAAGCACAACAGCTTGGGAATGCCCCAGGCTTAAGCTGCCTCTTCTCTGGCTCTCTCCCTCATTTCTCCTTCGCTGCAAACAGACAGACAACAAAGGGGCAGGATCAGACTTCAGGGACTGAACGTGGGCTGAAGCTGTGAGGTCTCTGTGTGTGTGCAATAAAGGAAGGTGGGGAGTAGAGATTTTATTGACTATGCTGCCATTTGGCTCTTCCTGGGACACCAAGTGCCCATCCTGGTGCTCCACAGGGCCCAGCACAATAACAGCTCCCAGCAGGAGCAGAAAGGCTGGTTTAGGCTCACAGTAGCTAATCTAGGTCATGCTCCCTCCTCCCATTCCTCTCCCTTCAGGAAGGCTAACAGCTGGATCCTGCTCCTTAGGAGCAGCCTTGTGCTGAGAACCCACCACACTCCCTGCTCAGGTGAGTCTGTTTTAGCACTGGAACACTTAAATAGCCCCGGCCTGCAACAAAAGCATCAGGGCAGGCTACCTGAGAATACTGAGCCCAGCATTTTTACTGCCCTTAAAAGCTTCCCTTGCTAATGAAATCAGCTTTATGCTCACCCACAGTCAGACACCCAAGCAATGTCATTATCCAGAGTAAGGGTGACAATTTGGCAGTTCATCAGTTATTAAACCCCCCACAACCTCCCTGTAAATAGAAGGTTGGCTCAGGAACCTCAGCTCCGCCACCTGACCCGTGCAACACTTCTCTTGAACATCATTTTACAGCCAAGCTCTTTACCTGGGATAATAAGGGAAGCAAAGCTGAAAGGTTCCACTGAAGCCCTTGCCAGAAATTTGCTCCATCCAGCCATTCTTCTCACATTTCTGCAGGGTTCTCTTCAGTAGATGCACTATGAAAGAGAAAAGAAATCAGAGAAAGGCTGTTACTATCTTTGTCCTCTTGTCTGACTTCACTGCTCTCTGCAGTGCCCTCTGAAAGCAGAGCTGGAGTCAGGATGGGAAATCCTCTCACAGTCAATTTTCAAGTAAAATACAAGTGTTTGTTCCTGAGCACGTGGCAAGTGTAGCTCTACATTCTCAAGGGAAGAAGTCAAGAGTGGTGCATGTTTCTGATGTCATGATCAAGGGATGCTCCTTCAAATGCATTCATATAACTACTTCTGTCCAAATTTAACCCAGGTCTCAGCTTTCTTCACCCTGTCCTCCAAAGGGTTTTTTTTTTTAAAACAAGCCTTTTTCCCTGTTTTTGCCCTCCTCGTGTTCTGAATGTCATGTGTGCTGCATCCTTCCCTGTTCTATGGTTTGCTTTTTGTTTTGTTTTTTTAAGGGGTAAAATATTTGGTCTAGAAATACAACAAATGGACTTTTTATTCCAGTCTGTCATTCCAGACTTTTATTTCAGCCATTCCATTGTGCACTGTGTAAGAATTGTAACTCAAACAGTAAGTATAGGGGATCTTTGTCTGTGGCAAAGGGCTGAGGTTGTTTAGTCAGTTCAGAACCATTTCCAGCTTGAATTAGAGGGGCCATTTATATATTGAGCTCCCTCTAAACCCAGGGAAAAGTGAGGTCTGCCCTCAAGCACATTCCAAAGAGGTTTATGGTTATAACCACAAGGCTGGTTTTACTCTGGGTACCAAAGATCAACAGCAGCATGTAAAGGATTTGACTCCAGTCAAGTCCAGTTATAAGATGAGGTATAAACTGGGGAGGAGAGCTGAGCTCTGGCTCTGCTTTCTCATCTCATCAGATCTTCCTCCAGTTGCTCTCAGAACAAAGCAGAGATCATCAAAATTCCTTTTACGTAACGGAAGGAGAAAGAAAACAACAGATTGCAGCTGAGATTTCTTTATCTGCCTTGCAGGAGTGACAAGCAGTGGAGGCTGGCTCAGCACAGCCCTCTAAGGACCAGGGACATTTCCAATGGTCCTGAAAATAAACCATTCCAGGAAGGTTTATTCCACTTAGGAAGCCTGGAAGCTCTTTTCCCTGCCCCAAGATTAAGAAGTCACAGTTGACATCAGTCTCTAATTGGCAGAAGGCCTCAGGCAACTTCTTTAGCCCTGGAACGTGTGCTGTGAGCCCTGCACCAAACAGCTGTGCTGATGCTGTGCTTCAGCTCCAAGTGCAGAGGGCAGGATCAGCAATCTCCTCTCCAGCCCCTTGTCCTGAGCACTGGCACCAGCTCTGTGACACCACAGGAACAAACTGATCTACCTTCAGGTTTGACTCGAGGAGAGACTGCTGGGAGCTCAGCCTGCTTCAACTGACCTCCAACTGCATCGGGGCTCAGCCCAAATTACCCAAATAAGCCATTCCAAGATCAGCTTTAAAGGCTCTGATAGCATTGCTTCTGCTAAAGCAAAAGTCAAACCAGACATTAGTGTTGCTCCTGGGAACAGAGACATGCCAAACCTCCTCTCAAATACAACAGGATTAATTTCTCTCCTCATCTGCTTGACCTTTTAAAAATCAAAGCCAAACAAGGACCTCGAACAAATCAGTAAGAGGGGTGCTCAGGAATTTTTTTAGAAGTCAGACTATGCAACTTCTCTAAATAAAAAGCAATTAGGAACTGCATTGATACCAAGCTGTTGCCTTTCAAAACAGAGAGAGACAGATGAAATCAACTTGGTGATTTAAGAACAATAAAGTACTTGAATACTATTCCCCCTTCCTGGCTACAGACAAGAGAATCATGCATTCTGTCTCAAAAACTGGCCTTTGTCCGGCCTGAAAGGGATTGATGGGAATTAAAACCACTGAGCATCTCTGCAGCACAAAGAGCTGAGCAGCTGCAAGCTTGATGGAATAGTTTAAAGGTGCTGCACAGGCACATCTGCAGCTGCAGGGCTCTCCCTCTCAGCAGTCGAAGTGTTACATGGATGGGTACTTTACCCTGGAAGTTGGAGTTGGTCCCTGGGTAATTTTCCAGGATATACTTCTTCAGCGCTGTGGTGGAGCAGGTCTTCGGTTCGTTCATGGCCACAATAGCAGACAGGATGGCATCTTCCATCAGAGTCCCACCCAGCAGGGGCTTCTCCCCTGATTTCTTCAGCTATTTTCCAAGGAGGAAGAGAAAAGCATCAAGACAAAATTCTCCCAAACCAGGTCAGGACAACTCCTCTGCACCAGGTGGGTCGGCGCTCCTGCATTAGCACAGATACGTTTAATATTAAAACACTGCACAGGGAACGCTGCTCTCCCAGCTTTAAGTGGGAGGCCAGGCCTAGTCAGTCAGCTGGCCTGGGGGGCTTATCAGCAACACCTCATCCCAGTCCCCAAACACACTGCAAGTCTAAGGGCCTATCGCTCAGGGGAGGGAATAAAGCAAAACAAATCACATCATCCTCCATCCCACGGACCAAATGTACCCAAGGACTTCTGTGGCACAGACGTAAAAGACACAGCAGGCATCTGGGGTACCTGCTGCACTTCCAGTGAGGGATGGAAAGGAAGGCTTACCCCCCCAGCTCCCTACTGTGCTGGTGAGTCAGAGCTGAGGCAGCGTGTACAGCACG